CACACACACACACTCTGTCAAGACTCGACCTACGAGCTCTCATTACTGGTCCTCGTCTGTGGCGTCATGTGACCCATAATTTCTACTGAGTCACTGTGACTTGACAAGAAAACAGAAACAGATGATGAGGGACAGAGAGAAAAGAGGAAGGTGCGTGTGCGTGTGCGTGTGCGTGTGCACGTGCGTGTGTGTGTGTGGTTTGTTGTTGCTCTTATCGTGCTTGCGGCTCGTTTCTTTCTGTCTCGGTTCATTAACTTTTAATTGAAATGATGATGATGATGTCAGATGATGAAGGAAACACTTGCTTCAGGATTGAATCTTGCCCAGTGAAATCAATTGTCGGTTCAAAACCATAACTTTTTATTTGAGTTTTTATTTTTCCACATCATCCTCTAAATTCAGGTGTTTACTTCAACACTTTCATGAATTCATCAGTTAAAGGAAAATACTTGATTCAGTCAGAATGAGACGTTCTACTTTTAAACCTTCGGTTTAAATGATAAGAAGAAGATTTATCTTGTTTTAACTGGAAGAAATGACACCAGGCAGATAAAACAGATCAAAACAAGACAACATCCTATAAATGAATGAGTTTCTTTATTTCTAACGTGAAATAACATGTGACCTCCTCCACACCGACAGTAACAAGGTCAGATGTTACGGTGAAATGTTTCTGATCTAAGATCTGAAACCTGACTGATGTGTGAGAATAAAGATGAAATCCTCCTGAGCCTTTAAACGCTCTGTAGAATAAATCCACTTTGACCTTCATCGTCATCACCATCACCATCCACCTGCACATGCTCCTCCCCTGCCCTCTGATTGGCTCTGGTCCTGTGCGGCAGCCAACGCCTCTCCGGCCGAAAACAAATCCTGAAGAGGTGCCGTCTTTGCTGATTTCATCTGACCTCGCTCTGTCGTCGTGGTCGTTTCAAGGGCAGAGGATCACCTGAGCGCCAGGTTTACATGAAGCATCTCAAATAACAGCAGCAGACTGAGCCTCGTCAGCAGAGGGAGGAAACATCTGCAGGAGCAAAGACACAGTGACCCAGTTTCTCCTGCTCAGTCCCAACATGACCCTGAGCTCTGATGTGGGATCAGCTGAGACGTGTTTCAGGATTTTTACTGATTCGTTTCTGTTCAGAAGCCTGTGACGTCACATGAGCTGACACCACGTCAGTCAATGTGCAGTCAGCTGAAAAAGTTAGAATCCCATGAACACTTTGTCCTCTTATGGAGTAGCTTTAGGTTTAGGAGGAAAATGTATTTATGAGGAACTCTCAAGATTCATTTCTTCTACAAGGCCCCACGAGGGGGCGGATGATGTCTGGTCGTCACGACGATGGCGGCGGCTCCTTCAGTGCTCACCATAATTTCATTAGTGAGGCGAGTCGTTATGGGGCAGAGGCAGGTGGGCTGTTGTGGCTGTATTGAATTTCCTCTGCATTTAGCTGATTATGTCCAGGAAAGACAAACACAGTCATAAAAAGGAGCTCGGAGACGAGAGGGCTTCAGAAACATCAAACACCACAAAGCACATTTTAACACGTATGTGTTTTATATCAGCTGTGTTATCATGTGGTGTGTTTGCATCACTGACCTGTTCCTGGCGTCAGCATCACAGTTTTATTGCGTCTGTCGGCCGGCGGCACTGATTTAAAATCCCATTATGATCTCAGATTTGATATTTATTATGTCTGTCTCTCTGTGCCCCCCCCCTCCTGACCTTTCCACATTCATCTCCTTTTTTTTTACTTTCTCCATTTTCTTCTTTTCCTCTTCCTCCCGTCTTTTCTTGTCTCTTGTCCTCGCTCCAGGAAAAGCAGGTGACAGGTTACCTCCTGTTCTCTCTGACCACCGCCGTCATCGGCTCCCTGCAGTTTGGTTACAACACAGGAGTCATCAATGCTCCCGAGCAGGTTGGTGACATCTGTGTGAGAGAAAGAAGAACTGACTCGTTACAGTTTGGACGACAGATTGAATTTTCCTCTTCATCCCTAATTGTGCAGAACCACACTTGAGTTCAGAATTAGATGTAGAAGCAGATTAGTTGAGACAGGATTCGTTTCTGCTGTTGGATGATTTCTGGATCCAGAGACGACCTGAGTGGATGCAAACATAGAAATCTTGACCCTGTGCAGATTTGAATGAAGTTGTTTCAGTAAAAATACACAAATGCACTTAGTTAGGAAAATGTGGAGAAAAAATTAACTAACTTTATTTCATTTTATTGCAAAATTACAGAAAATTTGAAAAATTCAGTTTACTGGATAACAGATGCTGTTCTGACTCCAGTGGGAGTTTGTGGGTGTTGTGTTGGAAGTCACACACATGGTTCATTCAGATGGATGGATGCTAACATTAACGTCACTGTAGCACTTTAGAAAACTAGCAGGCGAGTAACGTAATGCAGGACACTCAAATGACGGAGGAGAATACTGGGGAATACTGACAAATGTAAAAATGATTTCGGTCCCTGCACCTTAGAAACTGCGATCTTTCTTCAACAACACCTGGGTGGAGCGCTATGGGGAGTCCATCAGCCAGGACGTCTGCACCATCGTTTGGAGCGTTGCCGTCGCCATCTTCAGCGTGGGCGGTATGGTGGGCTCCTTCAGCGTGGGCGTCATGGCGGATCGGTTTGGCAGGTAGGAAGTGACGGAAGATTCTCTGTTGAATCGGACATGTTTATCAGGGGATTGTTTCTTTACTTTAATGGCTCTGTCTATTTCCAGTGTGGTTCAGCTGAGCCATCACAAGCCATTACTCCTAATGGAGTTCATGAAGCGTGTCTAACGTCAGCCCAGTGCTCGACTCTAATGCTCCCCGGAGTCGTTCCTTCATTTCTCCATTTCTCTCTTTTAATATGTTTGGCTTCTCCCACAATTCTTTGCATATTTAATATTGTATGAAACTGACAGAGAATTGTGAATCCTGTTCAGGTCACAATAACAACATAATCAAGGTGTGTTCGTTAATTAGCTTTGCTGGTGCAAGTTTTTAACTTTAGCTAAGACAGCAGTTTAACTCAATGCAATGGTTAAATTGCTTTGTTCAATTCCACCAGACTCCATTGACAAAACCAGTGATTTTACCTCAGAGAACACAGGAGTTGTTGTTGCTCACTTTAGAGTTTATTTGTGATATTGTGCTGGATGAAGCGTTAACTTGACTCAAAGTACCACACAATAACACAAAAAGGCAAACTTACTAACTTGTGGAGGCAGCAGTAGAGCAGTGACTGTCATGTTCTGTGAGGTAAAATTACTGTTTTTGTCGATGGAGTCTGGTGGCTTTAACAAAGTGACTGTGGTTGTTTTCTGAAACTTTTCGTTCCTTCAGTGATGAAGTCAACTTTAATCTGATTCTCGATACCAAACATCTGAAACAGTGTAAACTCTGTGGTTCCTCCTCCTCAGACGTCGCTCCATGTTCCTGGTGAACTCTCTGGCCGTGATCGGCGGCCTCCTCATGGGCTTCTCCACCATCTGCTCCTCCTACGAGATGGTGATAGCTGGCCGTTTGGTCATCGGCCTGTTCTGCGGCTTCTTCACCGGCCTGACTCCCATGTACGTGGGCGAGGTGTCACCCACTCCCCTCAGAGGAGCGTTTGGGACCCTGCACCAGCTCGGTGTGGTGGTGGGCATCCTGATCGCTCAGGTCAGGGCTTATAACAAATCTCAGATTGAATCTGTTTAGAACAAGCTTTGCTCTGCAGGTGTTGTTCGTCCTGGTGAGTGTGGTTTAACTCCCTGTTGTTGTGGCCCCGGTGTTTAGATCTTTGGTTTAGAGGCTCTGCTGGGCTCTGACAAGCTGTGGCCCCTGCTGCTGGCCCTCACTGTGGTCCCTGCTGTGCTGCAGTGCATCCTGCTGCCCTTCTGTCCTGAGAGCCCCCGGTTCCTGCTCATCAACCTCAAACAGGAGGAGCAGGCACGTAAAGGTACGCACCAAAACTTCTGCAGCTCATACTGCACCTACTGATGGTTCTACAGACTGGAGGAGGGATCGAACCACCGACCCTCTGGTCATTGGAGAGAGGCTGGCAGACACACCAGCATTTGGGTAGATACAATAACCCACTGAACTCTGCAACTGACAAATAACAATACTACTTCAAATACAATTACTACTATAGACACTATACTGACACTACTGTTACAAATACTACCTGGACGTCTACCGCTGCTTCTATTGCTCCATCAACAGGACCACTCTTTACGTCCGTACACTACGACAACTGGCAGCACAGTCGTTGATGCTATTCAACATGATATAGATACTTAGATGTTAGTGAAGTGAAATATTAGGTCAGGATGACGTCTGAGTCTTATCTTAATATCTCCGTCACCGTGGTTTGTGGTCCTGTCAACAGCGCTGGTGCGTCTGCGCGGCAGCGAGGACGTGAGTAAAGACATGCAGGAGATGAAGGAGGAGAGCGCTAAGATGGCCATGGAGAAGAAGGTCACCATCCCCGAGCTCTTCCGCTCGCCGGCGTATCGTCAGCCCCTCCTGGTCGCCGTCATGCTGCAGCTCTCTCAGCAGCTGTCGGGAATCAACGCTGTGAGTCGGCAGGACGCTCACACTCATTTTCACATAATTTCACATGTTGAAGACGAAGCTTGATTGATTATTGTTAGTTGGTCACTGCCTTGATTTGCTAATGATGGAAACACAAACAATAGAATCGCATGAAGACTAAATGTCGCAGTTTAATTAATAATCACTAGTTTTTATAAAACTCACAAAACCAAATATATTAGAATTAAATGCAACATTATTCGCTCTCATAAAATCTTGTTCCGCAGGATTTAACTTATCCTCTCTAATCCTTTGTTGCTTATTTACTTCCTCTGACTGATTTTCTCAGATTCATGAAACATTCACTGCTGCAGACTACAGTTCTCTATTTAAGTCTATAACACAGACACGTCAGTGCAGGTTAAAGTAAATATCAGATACTTCCTCTCAGCAGGAGGCAGGAGAGAGTTTTTGTGGATTAAAGCTGCACGTGATTATATGACAGGACCTTTTTTTACATTTCTCTGCTGGACGGTGTGAAAAAAACAAAAAAATAGTATTTGACTTCGAAGTGGTGTAGCTGTAATTCCTGGACCCTGAACAATTAGTTGCTGGTTTATTAGGAACACCCAAAGGATTCTGGGAAATTCACAGCCACTACGCAGTAAATGACCAAATGAGAAAAATCATTTCAATTATTTGTTTATGTTATTTTGTCTTTTCTCTCGTCTCCCTCCTCTCAGGTGTTCTACTACTCAACGGGGATCTTCAAGTCGGCCGGTGTGAAGCAGCCCATCTACGCCACCATCGGTGCCGGCATCGTCAACACCATCTTTACCGTCGTCTCTGTGAGTGTCCTCATCCAACAAGTGTGTGTGTGTGTGTGTGTGTGTGTGTGCGTTCAGCAGCACGTCACTCAGTCCTGTCTGTGTCTCCAGCTCTTCCTGGTGGAGAAGGCGGGACGACGGACGCTGCACCTCCTGGGATTGGGGGGGATGGCGGTGAGCGCGCTGATCATGACCATCTCCCTCCTGTTGGTGAGT